TCCCTTCCTTCCTTCCTTCCTTCCTTCCTTCCTTCCTCCCTCCCTGCCTTCATTCCTTTTTTTCTTCCCGTTTTTCTTTTTCTTCAGAGAAATAGTTATTTAACCATTATATCTTATTCGTGTGACTTTATCCTTTCTCTCTGCAGCTTGTAACTGCCACCCCCATGGGTCACGTGGTAAGATATGCGATCAGCATACTGGTCAATGTCCGTGTAAAGAAGGCGTGATTGGCAGGTCATGTGACAAGTGTGCTAGGGGTTACTCCAGTACCAAGTCAAGCATCGTTCCCTGCATTGGTGAGTAAGTACTACACCTCCCTGGTACTATCAACCAACACATTTTTTCTTCTTCTATAGTTATTTCAAAAAGGTTGGTGAAGATTTTGGCCTCGTCCACACTTATCCGGCAGGTCCGGATATTTTAAAAAAATTTGTTTTTTCATTACGGGTTGTCCTTCCGTCCACACGTATCTGGCGAAATACGCCACTTGAAAACGCAACTTTTCGAAAACGGATACGAGTGGACGGGGGACACGATTCGAAAACGCTACCTATGGACGCAGAATGTCCTTAAAAACGAGAAAAAAATCTGTTTTCAAAAATAACTTTGTCTACGCGTCTCTTCGTCATATTTTCTATTGACATTATTTACATATAATCTAGGCCACAATACATTTCGGGCTTGGTGTGCAACGTTTAACAACAACAAAACCTTAACCAACATTTCTTGAGATAGCTGTATATGGCCTCATGATATCCTAAATTCGCGTCCTCACCCATCCCCCCACCGTTGCTTGTGCAAATAAATAATTAATGTATAAATAGATAAATAAATAAATAATAAATAATAAATAATTTTCGTTGCTTCTTTCTTAGCGATCCCTAAAAATGTCATGTCTCATGAATCGCGTGTCAAAGCAAAAGACGCTGGTAAGCTTTTTGTAAGAATTTTTTGTAAGAAGTAAAAATTTGCAGGAAGAAAGCCGAATAACGAGGGAAGATTAGAAAGCTAAAATTACACTTCATCTTGTCCTCAGGTTGTCCTCAATGTAGGAGAGTGCCTTTCAGAGCTCGAAGATTTTGCCGTAAAGACTTCGGTACGTATCTACGACTGTTGTCTAGTTTTATATAACTAACGATATTAATTCAAAATACGGCTATGTTTTACTGCAAAATACTCTAAATACACAAATACGTTCCATTAGAATAAAATATCAAAGTATGAATGGCTGAAGTTAGGACAAAGTTGTTCTTGCTAGCTTAATGGCGGTGTGCTCAAATTTTTACTCACCTGTGAGCTTATTACCACGAAGAAACTCTGGGAGAAAATGCGTCCTCAAGCAAAAATATTTTGGTACTTTAGTTTTCATTTCGCCATCTTGTAGTTCGAGCTCTCGTTCATACTATGAAGGGGTTTTAAACTGGCAATTTTTACTAGTAGCCATGTGTACCAACTACCGCAACCAAAAGAAAAGGATGGCCTGATCTAAGATATCGCGTACTATGTTGTCGCATTTTTTATTATCTTGGTGTTATAATGTAAATTCCTTGACATACGTGCATGATTCATTTGTATCTCTTGTTCGCGCGTTTATTGTCAAGTGAGCCTTCGTTCCTTCCGGTCACGCGCGCACGAGATTGTATTCGCAATATATATCTTGATTGTCTTTCCCCATGGAATAAAAACCCGTGTAGAAACGATTGCTGTTTGTAAGCGTGTTAATAAGAATCCGTTCCCTGAGCTGGGGTGTCTCGTAGTAAGCGCCGATGAACACTTTGATTGGTGGCTGGCCACTGACAAGGAGCGCAGACTCTGACGAAAAAAATGTGAATGCCATTAACATGAGGTATCTCTTCCCCAGCAATGAAAGTCACTGTAGTCCGAGTAGACAAGAACAGCCCAAAGGAATGGGTTCGAGTGACAGCCAACATCAACACTTCCTTCAAGCGTTCTGTCCTTCGCTTCAGACGCGGTGACGGCTACCTGTGGGTCAGGGTACGGGATTTCAGGTGCAAGTGCCCTAAACTGAAGCCAGGACGAAGCTACTTCATTGCTGGAAACATAAGAAGAAATAGACTCAAGAAATCAATCATTGTCGACGGTAAAAGCATAGTTGTTCCGTGGAATGAGAAACTCCTAAAGCGTATTTATAAATTCAAAAAACTTCAAAGAAGAAGCAGATGCATATAAAAGACAGCGTTGGAATAATGTCTCACAATATCAGCTGCTTTCCCCAAACTCCTGGAGCTATTAACAATGACATCGCATTTTGTCCAGGGACGGCATTCAAGTCACGTGATCCGCCTGTGTCTCATGATGTCGTTATCTCATAATGAATGAAATTTAATGCTTATATGAGAGAACTATAATTTATTCTCTTTTCCGCTCCGGTTTACTATATTCCAAATTTTTGCAATCGCTTGTGTATTTTGAGGATTAGAACTACATGAAACGGATAAGTGCGCATGCGTGGCCTGCTTAAGTTTGCGCATGCGTCGTCTTTTGCAGTGTCGACCTTGGCAAATTTACAAGTTTTTGGCCAATCATAGCGATCTCGTTTAATTGACAGTGGCTATCGCAAAGAATTATGGGAAAGGTGTACGGTCACAGGCGATACATTCTAGTACCCAGAGCTGCCTCCTCAGTTCTTCAGGAGGCGCCTCCAAGGACGAAAACGAGGACCTCTTGGTACGAGAATGTCAGCGATATTGATGTGAACTTCATTTGCGCGAAACGTTTTTTTTACACAAAAACTGCTTATATAATATTCTTCAATGCAATACTTTTGTAAATATTGAGACAGTAGTGAAACTAAATTTCAAAGGAAATTGAAAAGGTAAACACTTATGGGTTGCCTGTGGTAAATGGACCACGGCATCCCAACTTAGGAGCAAAGGCTCGAAATAAAGTGGTTGGTAACAATGGCAACAAGAAAGATAGATAGTATTTTAAATGTATGTGATATATGTGATATATATATATATATGAATATGCTTAACCTCCTGTGGAGTTCGTATAACGAATTTTATTATTGAACTGTATCTGCTTTCAACTTATTTAAGCTGTTAATAAACATGATGACAATGTTTCTCAGGGGGTTTTGTTGATGAATTTCCGATGTTGGTTACGTGCACAGCCCTAGATCTTTTTTGCAATACTATTAGAAAAGCTTGGCAACATTAAATATGTAAATAAATGTGGAAAAATGCATATTCGTTTTCAAATAATATTTGTGTAATTCCAGTTTATTTATGTGTTTATAGTTATTTACATCAGCATCAGGAAAGCATTTATTTCTCATTTATTGATCTATAATTCCTACGTTTTTGTGGTTCATTTTACCAGAGGTAACACCAGTTTGAAGATCAGTTTAGACTTTTCTTATACAAACAAGGTGCATTCTGGTCTAGCATGGGTGGAAACATCACTATATAAGGTGTGATGAATATTTTTTTTACCCAAGCTTGTCCACAATGCATCTCCTTCAACATCTTATCAAAGACTGACGTTTTTTATTCATCAAAATAAGATAACCGTGTAGGTCCTGATAAGTCCCTGGAAGAATGATATTTAGAAGTCATCCATCTCATTCTCATACCCAGATCTGCTATTTGTCAATCTAATTCTTACTTACAAGCAGCTGTTTCTTTCTCCCTCCCCCACAGGAATGAAAATAAATCATTTAATCTATAGACTGCCTATGCCTTTTAACTAAATCAGACTAAGTACAATTGCAAGAGCCCTACCCCTCTCCCCCTTGAAAATAAATGAGTGATAGATTTTCTTGATATTTATCTGATGAAAGAAATCTAAAGATTGCTATTCAATCTATCCATCATGACTAATTAGACTAATATAACTATGTTTAATCCATCTTGATTCGAAGTAAAGTTTCGTCCATCTCAATCCCCGGCAGTCTGAGTATTTTGAATGAATTTTAAGTATTAAGATGGTACAACAGCGACGACAACAATGACGATGAGTAGAAGAACAATAACAATAAGCATGCCTAAAAAAGAGAAAGAAAAAGAACTCAAATAATTTACTAAACGTTTCTACCACTTTATCGTCCTCTAATTTATAGCGCTAGTTGGTGTTTACAAACATTAGCATTGTGATGTTAATTTGCCAATCATTGTCACAATAGGTCTGGTGAAGTTGCTTTGTTTCATTAGCAAATTGATTTCTGTGCCGAGATGTACAAAGCCCGAATAGCGGTATCCGACGGATAAATCCTATCCACTGGATAAATTTATTGGATAACAGCATTGACTTATCCACTTGATAAGGATTTATCCATCAGATAGAGCTATCCACCCTTCCAATGACTGGGCCCTGGTTGGCAGAGTAATGACAATAGCTTATGTCATTATACTAATGTCCCCCCCCCCCCCCCCCCTGAGTAACTTTAATACATAAAGATATGAGCTTTCTATCATGTTCTGTGTTCATATTAGATGTAGTAAGATAATTCGGTTTTGACCTTAATATGCATGTTGGCTCTATCATGATCAGTGTGTAGATTGTGCACATGTGCTATCCTTACCTCCCCTGTCATTGACAACCACCCCCTTACCATTTTACCATAAATAATGTTACTTATAAAATATCATGTACATACCACAGGTAGATGATTTCGCGGTGACTTTCTTCACATGTGTTGTTTCTTTCATAATTCTGCTGTGCGTAGAGTCCATACGGTCTGCGACGTCAACAATGATTTCTAAAAATACACAGAAAAAATTATAATTCCAACTGGGATAATATTTAAATTCATTTACGTTTTCTTTTTTCTTTTTTCTTTTATTTAAACATATAAATTCTTTAAGTTTACTCCAAGAGCTCTCATTCGAGCTCATCTAGGGAGTTCACTTAATAAAAGATTTACACATTTGGATGTGGAGTACAAACACACACACAAAAAAAGAAAAACTAACAAAAAAAAAAAAAAACTATGCTAACAAACACGTTTTCTTTGAATCAATAGTTACCATTCTGGGTGTCCACTTCATCTGATATAGCATGTCCAATCATTTTCTGTCTCTGGATGATGCCCGATAAAGCATCAAGCCCTTTGTCTTGCTCTGTTGATGAAAAGCATTTAATATTTTTAGGCGCCATTTGGCATCATAATGTCAGTAAAGTGCTACAATCCAGGTTATTTTGACATATCCCTGATTACTCTCTTAAAATAAGTATTAAAGGAGCACTTGAATGAAAATGAATAAAAATTGGAAATGACACGAAACTTGATTGAACTTATCTATATGGCCCAGATAGTAGCCAGGCAACATGTTTCCTTCACAGACGTCAAAAGTGGCGGGGAAAAAAATCAACTTTATTCAGCATCTAAATTGTGAGTAAATGACGTCTATTACTCAACCCTATTGTTCTTTTCTCTTTTAACCCAAGATTTCTCAACAGCGAGTGGCTCCAAGGCTAAAATTTTCACTAATCAGATTTCCATAATTATAATTGAGTCATATTATCCTTGAATACTTCAACTATTCGCACTCTCAAAAATCAGGGCGTTTTCATCCAAGTGCCCCTTTAAAGGAATACAAAACACACGGAAACCACATACGAACCGATGATTCAACAAACATGTGCACAAATTAACAAAAAACACCGTTTTACTTTTCAAAGTTCAAATTTAGAACATGTGTGCGCATAAAAAATGACATGGGCATATTAGATACACTCATCTAAAACAGCATTTTTCCCAAACAAAGCACATTTCAAAATGAAAAACTCAGTTATTTATAAATACTATCCTGAGTACCTAGTACCTTCAAAATAATTAGTCTTCTGTTATTTTCAAAATAGCAATAATTGCAATTATTGTGGTAATGAAACCCATTGTCGTAGAAGAGAAGAATTTATTTAGTGCCAATGTGAGTGGTTCCCCAATTGCCTCAATCTCGTACCCAGAGCCTGCGTTTCTTCTGGCCTGCGGCGAAGAACGAGGGCTCTGGCATAATCCATATTTTGGCACATGCACAATTTTTGGAAAGTTAGATATAACCGATCAAAATAATCAAAGTAAAAATTAAATCAAAGTCAAAATCAAAGTCAAAATCAGTATAAATTGAAAATTGGGGGAAAAATTTTTAAAATTTTTGGCAAGTCTTTGAATGTGTGCGCCATTATACCGGAAGTCCAAGAAATCCTGGTCTCAAAAAATGGATTATGCCAGAGCCCTCGTTCTTCGCTGCAGGCCAGAAGAAGCGCAGGCTCTGGGTATGAGATTGCAATCACCTGAGCCTAGGGCTCATGTTAAAAGTGCCTGATGACAAGAATTCCATATACAATAAATCATAAAATATATTTAGAATAAATGATAGATATAAAGATAAATAAATATATAAAAATAATTTTTGAGTTCCAAATTACTGCTGTGTTCCTTGATTACAGACTCATTTGCACAGGGTTAGCCTCGATTTTGTGCAGAATATTCACGTGTTCCAGTCAAGGTCCGTCGACTTTCAAAGTGTTTGTATTGACGAAGTTGTGCATTCTTTACTTTACTGTTGGTATTTGTGAATATTTGAACACTGATACGAGGCTAACCCTGTGCAAATGAGTCTGTAATTAAGGAACACAGTGATAAATTGGAACTTGAAACTGATCTATTATGAGCTGAATTGGACTTAATGTTTAGGCTATAAATTCTACATACTCTATACATACAAAGTGTGGTTTAATATACCTTCAATGATTTGATGTTGTTGACTGCGCATGTCAGTCACAGACATGTCGTCAGTCTCTAGCATGTAAGGTGAATCAAAGGGGTTTGCATCATTCGTGCCTCTGGATAACAAAGTATCCCTGGAAGATGAACTTTAGTTGGTCAGAACATTGGTATCTGAACCAATGTTTATCATCATCATTATTAATATCATTTGCATCAATATCATTAATCCATCATCATCAATATTATGTACATAATTTTTAGATATAAATATTGTATAATTATCAATAATTTTAACCATGTAAATCCACCGTATATTTTATTTAAGGTTGATGAATAAAGCTTATTATTATTATGAATGTTCTTGTCATTATCATCATTAATAYCATAACTATCATTAATAAAAATACGCAGGTGATTATAGAAAATCTCACAAGCTGATTGGTCAAGAAACTCACACTATCACACGATCTTCACCTCGAGCAAAAATCCAAAATGGTGGCCAGCCGCTTTGTTGCTGTCACTGGAAAAAAATGCCTTTTATCTTATTTTTTTTTCTTTTTTTGAAAGAATCACCTGTGTATTTATACTAAAACAATTATTTGCCTCAGGCTCAGCGATTATTGGGAAATATTTACCTCGCCGCTCGAAGACTCGTGTCTCGGTAAATATTCCTGATAATCACTTCGCCTTTGGCAAATAATTGTTAAATAATCATCATCACCAATAACAAACTTTATCACCACAGTAATCACTGTGATCAACATCATCACCATAATCATGAACAACATCATTGTCACTTAAAATTAAACTTTATAACCATCACTCCCCATGAGCAGCTCTTTCGTGGGGTTCACTCCACATGCAATACCACTGTACTCACTATTTACAACACACAACACTTAACTCACATGTTGATTTTTATGGAGGAGGAAAAACCCAGAGAACCCAGAGAAAAACCCTTGGGGCTTGGGAGAGAACTGAACATATCAAACAAACTCACTCGCATTTATGCAGTTGTGCAAAACTGCAACCTGAGGCATAAACTACTCAGCTTTGAGAGACAGCGCCGCAACAACACATGCATTTCACCCTTATTTACAAGTATGCCTAAGATTATGGACCAATGAATGACAATAACCCTAATAAATACCTTCCAAGATCCTTGCTTGTTGGTTCCTGCTGAAATGCAGAGCTGAGCTGTCTTTCCCTATGAATTACATAAAACCACCACCTGGTTAGCTCAGTTGGTAAGAACGTCGGTCTGTTGTGCAGGAGGTTGTGGCTCAAGCCTCGGCCGGACCAACACTCAGGGTCTTAAAATAACTGAGGAGCAGGTGCTGCCTTTGTAATTATATCTACAAATGGTTAGACCTTCAAGTCTTCTTGGACAAGGACTTTAAACCGTAGGCCCTGTCTCCCAACCCTTCCTAACCTACAGTAAAATGGGGGACATAAAAGAACCACTGAGGATGTAAAAAGAAACCCTGGCAGTGGCCACCCTCAGTGCCTCCACTTCATACTAACCATCTCTCATGCTTGTAAATTGCACAAAAAGCAATCTGTCATTCACACTCAATGTAAAGGGCCTTTGATTATATCCACACATAAAAGGGCGCTATATAAATCATAATCATCATCATCATCATCAATTGGTTAATATTATTATCAGGGCTAAAAATGATAACCAGTTATCGGAAAATGTCTGGTGTAGGAACTTGTCCGGCCAAATCTTTGTGATGTCTTTCATTTTGACCAGTAATGTTGAGCCGGAAACGAGGTATAGTCGAGCTAAAGCAAATTTGGTTGGTCATCCTGAACGGCGACTGACTAGTGGTTATTTTTATCCCTGTTGATTTCTCCTAACTTTGTGAGATTGTAACTTACTTTGTTATAAGTTGATCAATCATGTTTTGTCTTCTATCTACTTCTCGTTCCGTGCTGATAATCTATTAAGGCTTATTAACAGTTTATGGGGATATAATAAATTTAAGTCTAAAATTATATGGAAGCTGATTACTGAAAGAATTCATTATACGTCTGCAGCAATAAATTTTTTATTAACCATTCCTTCCCATGAACATACCTATATGTATGTCGACAAATTTTCATGCGAGCTACAATCATATAGGTATTTGGATATTGTAATCTCTGTACTCCCCTAGTTGTTGGCGATTTCAATACAAAAAAAAATCTTTGGATTTCATAATCTCTGTAATCCCTGGTCGTTGGCAATAATTTATTGCAATACAAAAAAATCTTGTCATTGAGAAAGATCTGGTGTTTAAAATGAAGTACAACTAGTATAGCATTTTATACTCATTTCTCTTTGATCTCATGGGGCAAAAACCAAAATGGCTGCCTGTAGCTGGAATGAGTACCTTGCTATGAACCATGGGAAGGAAGGGGTTAAGCTCCTGGTATAAGCTGGGTTAATGGTAGTAGAAAAAGACAGAGGTGCTATACAGATTACTAACTCTCTGCCCATTATAGAACTTCTGAAATACTTGTAACGTAAAGTATAGTACCACAGGTTTTAAAAGGATACATGTGATATGATGATGATGCTCTCAGTAATGACTGCTTCAAGCCTTCCAAGTCACGACTAAAATTCTTTAACATAAATCTAATGTCGGATTCAATCTGGAAAATAATAACAAAATAAACTGGAGCCTTAAAAATACATTAATATATCTGGACACCTTATCCTTAATGAAACCTGCAATAGCTAATTTATCATTTTGGTCCTATTGATGGTAAATGACCTTTAAATTTTATTGGCACCCTGAAACAACCTCTTGGCTGATCTAAGTCAGGGTATGGATAACTCACAGATAGAACCCTGAAACAACCTCTGAACTGATTAAAGTCAGGGTATGGTTGACTCACAGATCAAATTGGAATTTAGCACGTTAGTTTTGCAGACGGAGGAAAAGAAAAAGTAGAGACCTAACAAACGAAAATGCACTACTGCTGGGTAGTCACCCTTGATTCCCAAAATAGTCAAATAAAAATGCATGGTGGCCAAGTTGTTGGTACTAAATGAGGAAGCTAATGAGGAAATCTTGGGATTTGCTTACCCTTGCATAGTTGCTTCCTGATCGGCGTAGTCTGTTGCGCTCGTTAATCTTTTCCATGATGTCTTGTCCATATTGCTCAACACCCCTGTATTCATTTTGCCTTTGGTAGAACACATTAATGATAAAAGAAAAATATCATTGAAAAAATTATAAGTACAAAACAAAAACACGACAGCTACAACATGAGCAATGTACAAAAATATCAATTTAGCTGGATTAAAGTGTGACATATTCTGATTGATTTTCAAACAAAAGAATGTATGAAACAACTGAATTAATGAATGAGACAACGAAGAAAAAGTGAATGAGTAGAAATGAATCCTTGTTTTGTAAATATTATGTACACCTAAATGAACCTGTACATAACCCCGAATAATCGACAACAGCAACGCCAAAACCCTCCAATACTAATTAAATTTACAGAACAAAGATAACTGGTGTAGTTGATGGAGTGCTGGTGCATTTAATTCCACTAAAATAATCAAAAATTTCCACGTATTTATAGACTTCACTTCACTTTCTAAAATCATGTGATCACAAAATAACCCAAAATCATAAAAGAAATAAATAAGAAAAATAAAAAAATAAACCAAAAGAATTTTACAAACGCATCCTTCTATAATCTTTACATATCAAAGAAGATGACTTCATGAATTGTAGTTAAAACTAAAGTAAAGAAACGGTTAAAACGATAAATATTTGGTAAATCTTACCAAGAATCTGTGGGCGCCATCTTGGTTCCCTCTATCTGACTGACTTCCGTTACCCAGGTTCTCTCGTCATGTTTAGCACAGGAAGACCACAGAATAAAAAATAAGTCAAAGGGGTAATAACGCGCGTTTTTGTTTTGCACTTTTTTGTAGAAGTTCTGCATTGATATTATCATTGATTAGCTTTTGAGTACCCTGCTGCCAGGCAGGCTCTCTCCCTTTAATTTTCTACGAGCAGGGTTGCTTTTTTAAAAGTTGTTTTATCAAAACTTTTAAATTTGAAAAGAAGGAAAATAGCATACGTTTTTAGTCCTTTCTTTGGGACAAACAGAATATAGTCACTCATGTAATCCTCCCCATCCTACTCAGTTAACAAAATGATCACCAAGCTCCTGAAGCACTCCCCTCTTCCTTCGTGAAAGTTATTTTTTTGGTGAGAAAAACACGAGACCTCTATTTTTCCGACATTTTCCTTCTTCTATCTTACTCAATATTCCTAACAACAATTTTCAGGCTTTAAATCTACTTTGGTCCCGCATGAGATGCTCCTGTCAATTATCCAACGATATTTAACTTTAATTTCACACATAAGTAACTCAGCCACTTAATCTTTGTTTGAACAGAATATGTCGTCATTACCATTATTGTCCAATCAGGTGGCCGTAAGGCTACTCACAAAGGCATGGGATGGTCACTGTTCAGTATAAATCTGCATAAGAATTACAAGAGACGCCACGTTAATGTATGTTATTTTAGCTTTAGATGTTAATTTTCAGTGATTACAGTTAACCTCGTTGGATCACGAAACCGCTTAAATAGTTTACTGAAACTCGTGAGCTCTCCCTCTTGATTGAAGAGAACGCATTGGAATAAAGTCCACGCGTCGCTTTTTTTGTTTTTGAAGATAATTCACGATGTTGAGGGCGCTGTTTCTTGGCGTTTTTGTGGCAGTTGTTGCTCTCGCCGCGACAGCGGAAAAGCCAAAAGACAAGCTTGTTGTCGTAGATGTTAAGGGCCTCGCGAAGAAGGAAAACTCCTTGAAGAATTTAAAAATTCCGAAGGTCAACCCGAACGAATTGAACAAGAAGCGAGAACAATTGTTAACCTTGAAAGAGATTAAAAAAGAAGACTTCGAAAAACTCAGTCATAAAGAAAAGCGTAAACTCTTGAAGAAGATGAAGAAAGATGCTTTAAAGATGAAGCGTCTTCGTGTGATTCAGAAACTAAAACGAAAGTTCCTACAGAAGAGAAAGCTTAAGCTCAGGCGTCAAGACAAAAAAGAAAAGAAGGCTTTTAAGAAAAACCTGCTGAAACAGAAACAAATGAAGAGGATGATGAAAAAGAAGTCTAAGAAAGCGCACAAGCGAGAGCACAAGAAAGAGCACAAGAGAGGGCACAAGAAACATCACAAGAGAGAGCACCAGAAACAAGGAAAGCGTGGAAAGAATCAAGAGAAGAGAGAGAAAACTCCAGAAAAGAAAAAGCAATAAGGTGAGTGTATTAGCTCCTAATTTTGAAAATAATCTAAAAAGGAAGGAATGAAATATGTGATGAATTSTTAAAAGTAAACGTTGGTTGATTCGATGTCAAGAGGCTGCATTTTATAGGCTTTTTTTGGAAAGAACTGAATCCATGGCCAAGTTAGTCAACTCGACTTCAATAAACTTTTGGATTTATAATAATGTTTTTATTTTTGCGGGCAAAAGTCATGATAAAAATATAATATCATCGAAACTTTCAAATCGTCCGTTATTACAATAATTTATGGAGTTTTCTTAGATTTTTTGCTTAGGAATTCAACAGGCTTTTTCAGGCTGGAATTCTCAGCTCATTCAGACTAAACAGAAATAACTGAAGGGAGTTCGCGAGAGCAAAAGAAAGAAAAATATGGCAAATGTTTAGAATCTCTACTAAATAAAAATCTCATCAAGACTCAAAAGTGTATTATATTGAGCATTTTTGTATAACAAGAGCAAAGGATTTCCGCCAGAGAGCAGGAATTTTTTGACATTTGTACATGGCTTAAAGAATCCAGTGTTGAAAAAACAATCGATTTTTCTGTAGCAAACCCGCGAAAGAAATTAAAGATTTATGAGAACTACTCAATGAAAAAGTAATTGAACTCACAGTTTTGAATACGTGAGAAAAAATAAATAAAATTATTTTGTTTTTGGACCATTTTAAAGGGAAATTATATTGTTACAAATCTAAAACCATGTTTTTATATATACTTATATTTGATAGGCAAAGTTATATTACAGTTTCAGTATCAAATTCCCTTTCACGGAGTCGGAAGAACTGAGTTCCTCTCTTTTAACTTGGGTATTACCCCGATTAGAATGTGTTTCGGATAATTTAAAAAAACTGCGCATTTATGGTATTCCGGACTCAAGGTTCGATGAATTTTGAGAGCAGCATTTTAAATTTAAATTTTAAATTTCAATCATGAAATTTACTGTTAAGCATCAATGATTTTTGCCGATTTCTGGTATTTTTGAACGAGTTATTTCCTGAATTGATTTTTTGTTTTGTTAATTTTTAGACTTTGAATTTAGTATAGGACTAAAAACCGATGATGAAAAAACAACACACACACGAAACGATCAAGAATAAGAAATGAAAAAGCAAAAATCTATGAATTTGCCCCGAGCATTGAATAACTTGTAACAAAACATACCTAATTGTTAAAAATAAATTAAATTGAAAAAACTCCAAATATAAAGATAGTATAAGTTTATCATCTTTATCTTAACGAAAAACCGTTTCAACGGAAATTTCCTTGACAAGTTTTAATCAATAAATTGGTTATATTTCGATATTTTGATCAAATGGAAGATTAAATTTTAGTTCGTTCAACCAGAAAGACGAAACAGAGGCCGACTCCTGCTGTTTTCATGATAAATTAAGGAGCAGACCACATTTTCTCAAAACATTACTATTTTGAAGGGTATTAGAGACAGCGATTTAATTATTTGGAACAGTGGGATGTGACTGGGTGAAAGATTACAGGGAAGAAAGCAATTTCATAGTATTACAATGAAATAATAAAAATTCTATTCGTGAAAAAATGTATTTAAAAGAAAGTAAAAGAAAAAAGAAAGAAAAATTTGCGAGATCTATTTAAGGTTAGACAAATAAAAGTTCCAAGACTGTTTTCTCCTTTGGGCTTCCTGTGGATTAGGGTTACCACAGGAAACCCATAACCAGTGCTTGGCGAACAGTTCTAGAACTAATACATTGATTTGTTTTTTCCTATTTTAGATAACCTTTTGTATTCTACGGGAGCGTAACAGATGCTGAGTAAGATAATACCTTAGGATAACTGCCAAAACTAAGAAAATGGCTTAAGTTTATAATATTTTTCTGAATGTTTACATCAAGTCAGGATATATACAATTAGGCTGCGTTCGTGTATTGCGGGGGGGGGGGGGNAATAATTCACAACACCCCCTTTAAAATAATGCAAAAAAATATGATCCCCCCTAAGCAAGGCTTGTAGCTTCCTCCAACAATTGTGCATCCCCACCATTTTTCTGATGAAAATTTGCCCATCCCCCTCTTTTTCCTACCAAAACTTTCCCGATCCCCCCTCAATTTCACCTGCCCCCCCCCCCCCGGCTGCCATACATTATGAATGCAGCCTTATTTGGCCATTTTCAAAAAATGATAAAGTCAGTTTGACACCTATTTTATAGCATTGTACTTTCTTTTATGTAAACTGTATTTTACTTATGTTTACTCTGCCCTATTTTTAAATCTAATTGATTTTTTGAGGAATGATAAATTTACAAGGGATTTAAATTACATTCAGAACTACTTGGAGAAATTTCTGCAAGGTTTTTATCAAGACATGGGAGAATTTTTTGTTTTTCTCCCATGTGTGTGCCACTGTGCACCAGTTTTGCATAAAGTTGTGCTTCAATTGCTTAGCTTTTATTGTATGATGTGCCAATTCTGAGCTTTCAAATTAAGCTGTTAGTGTTGTGTAGCCTAGCACAAACTATACAAAATAAAATGTAAAYGAAACGTTGCTTTCTTATTGTAAACTAAATCATTTGAATAAATAAACCTTTTTCAGAGTTTTTAAGCTTGTATTAATTGTTGTTTATGAATATTGAAATGCTATCAGAAGTTTGACTGAGAATTTCTTTAACAACAACAGGGACTTAGTCAGGATTTTGCCTCGGGGGGAGGGGGGATAAAAACCATTTTCAGAACATCAGATTCTGTTAGTTGAACTTATGACGTGATGATGACTACATAGATGTTTAGAATTGTACAGCATGAGGATGGGAATCAACCAACTTTGCAACAGACCCTGAGTCTGGACCTGATAATATAAAGTAAATGTATGAACACATCAAGTCCAACCCTAACTTGGAAGCATTGTTTTCATGGCCACTCAAGCAAATTTAGGGAAGGTCTATATATAAGAAATACAAATGCACACAACAGTCATTTAACCACACGGTTTATTGGACAAAGAAGTTGATGATTATTACCGAGTAATGTACTACATAGTTTTTATAAATAGGACAAATAACAAAATCACTATGTTGAATGGAGAAAGTTAAGGTAAATCAAACCACCATACAATCATTCATATCACATTTTTGTCCTAAACTAATGCCACTAGCAACATTTAGGTATTGCAGCATAAATAACCTGAGAACTATTGGACTTGTTTGAAGCATTAACTATTTTGAATCAAACATGTTATTAGCCATTCCCGAGGTTGAGAAAAAAACTGGGTTGGTATTTCAGTGCATTTTTTGGGCTGTTTTTAGGGAATATTATATTTCCAATATAGTGTCCTTTTTGTCCCCTAAGAAAGTCCTACAATACCAACTCAACCCAGTTTTTTCCTTAAACCTCGGAATGACTGATACATTTAAATCTGCGGCAAAAACCAAGGCCTGGTTTAAATGATAAACATTTTTATGCTCCAATTATTGCACAGGAAACTTTATTTAATTCAATGATTTAATTTGATAGTTGATTTAGTGATGGGGGAGTTAAAAGTTTAATTGGCAATGATGGTATGTTGCAATTAGACATAAATCCTTCATGCATTCAGTACCTTACAAATTGCAGATTAAATCAGATATTCAGCACCAAAACTGGACCTTGAGAACATTTATAATTTACCAGCCACATGCTAAAGCAACTACCAATATGTATGCATAAGTCTGTAAATCCAACAATGAAAATAAGCACTGGAATAAGCTTAGCTATTGAAGGCTATTTTCAGCTAATACTAATATTAATTAAAGCAACAAAAAAACATTTCTATCCCTAAAATACAGTTTACAAACTATCACATTTAAAGTACCTTCTGGGTACCTTTATGATGAGCTTCTTCATGACTAGTCTAAGGCAAAATCTTCAAAGACAGCTTTGAAACCAACCATGCCATGTGAACTTGACGAGGTGGACTCAATGTGGGGATCTGGAGTGGCGTGGAGAGCTTGATCTTCGTTTTTCACTAGACTCCTTATCTTTGCTGTCTCTGCTGTCTCTGTTGGATCTCTCACGGGACCTGAAAGGATGTTAAAACTTTAAATACAATTTGAACCTCATGAATCAATGATTCTGTATATCACTTTTTCTAGTCATGTCCATCAAATCAAACATTTGACAAGAATTCCCCAAATGTTTCCCAATTTTTTAACAATTCCCTAAAGATTCAAAGCAGCAGAGCAATAAGTTGTCTGTCTTCCAAGACTATTGTCCACTCTCCTTTGAAAATAAGGAACTGTAGAGACAAGGCGGCAAAAGCTCAATGTCTGGGACCATAAAATATTTAAAAACAAAAATCAAAGTCTTTGCATGAGAAAATGTAGGAAGTTGAAGGCCCCCCTCCTGCCCCACCCTATCTCTTCTGCCCTTGAAGAAATGGATAATTGACTTAAATAAATCTGATAAAAGGTACGCATATAGAAAAAAAAAAAAAAATGCACTGGCACTCTTCTTTATATTTCATTTTGAACTGGTATGTGTGATGCCAAAATGCTGACAGTCTTAATACTAGATTAACTTAGTACCTACTAGTATAAGTCTTATTTTAACAGTGAATAGAACTAAGAGAGGACTTTTCCTTATTAAATTAAGTTTTTTTTATCACTGAATCAAAAAAGCAATTCAGAGATAAAGGGGTGAAAATACAATGGGATACCTGTCCATGAAGAATACCTCAATTAGACTGTTCTCTGTCTACTGGGCAGTACCAGTAATGCCGCAACTGTAGGGTACTGTAGATCTGACGAAGTTGAACTCGCACCAGAAGAATTAATGGTTTTGTCCAAACTGGAACATGAGTTATGTTAGGGCAACAAGTGCCGCAAGGACGAAATTCACGATAAAATAAAAATTCAAAGCTATATTTCTGTACCTTGGCTTCTCCGGTCTGTTGTACACCTTCAATCACAGTTGGCTTGATATATTATAGGTATAAAGGTTTTCTTTAACCATTATGATAACGATATAAACCTACTACACCAATATTTAAAATTTAGGTATTTTTAATGGAAGAAATTCTAAAATTTTTAAATTTCATAAAAACTCTTCCAGGAGGATCTAACGTTATGCCACATTGTGCTAAAGTGTTAAATTAAATTTTCCTATATTTTTATTTTTTCCTTTTCTTTCCTTATCTTTTTTTCTTTTTCATTGACTTGCAAGAATAATCTCCTTAGAAAATGTTTTTACTTTGCTTCATTCCAAATCTTTAAGAATTGATTTTTCCCCCTAAACTTTTCAAAATCATATTGAATACCTCTATTAGAGATCCTGTGTTCCATATGTTGAAGCGTTGGCCTGACACATCTGGGGTTCAGTTCTTGCACTGATGATGTTAATTCGAATAATCCCAGTCGATAGCCACGGATGGCATTTACAGTACCAAATGCATGCTTTGTGAATTTGACTTTAGTCAAGATTAAAGCATGGTAATTTGATTATATATATATATATTTATTTATTTACTCTCGGCATCATGCTCCTCAGCATGCGAATTAACAGATATTATGCTGTTAAGCATGTGTTGTGGTGATTGGTAGGTCTTTTGTTTAAGAAAGAGCTCCAATCATGGCGAGTTACAGGATAAAATTTTGGGTTCCTTGGAACTCTTTAAGGGATTAGCTTGACTCACCTGCTACGGGATCTTCTGGACTTATCTTTATAGTCTTTGCTGTCTTCTCTGGTTCTTTCCCTGTCACGTTCCTTGCGGCGGTCTCTGTCTGCATCCCTATCACGATCACGGTCACGATCACGGTCCCTATCTCGATCACGTCTCCTATCTCTGTCACGATCACTGCCTCTATCTCTGTCCCGATCCCTCCTCCTCTCTCTATCCCTATCCCTATCTCGGCCACGATCTCTTTCCCTATCACGATCACGGTCTCTAATATCCCTTTCTTTTGGCTTTTCAACATCCAGTTCCTTATCTTTGTTCCGTGCATTTTTCCAAGGACGTGACTATAGCAAAACAAAAGAAGTAAATATATTAATTTTAGTGCTTCATATTACTTTTGACCAGTCAATTTCCATACAAATTTTAAAATATTTTGATGGAATTCCACAAGAAAAAAAATTCAATTGGAATCCAGCAGAAGGAAACAAGCAGAAGTAGAGAACAGGCACTCTGAGGAACAACTATGAATGTTATTTCTTTCTTTATCTATATATTTATTCTTAGGACCTGCTGATGTAAAGCTATGTAAACTAGGAGCAGGCCTTGCTCAGTTGGTTAGTGCGCGATCTTCAGAGCTTGAGGTCCACAGTTTGATCCTTAGGACCTCCACGTCTGTTTCGACTTCTCTTCTAATCTGTGTAGTTTCAGCTTTAAATACTCTTAAAGCAGAACACTGATGGAGAGAGGGGGTAAAGTGCGCACCGTCGGCTTCCATTGATAGCAGTTGAATTTCAACTGAAGGAACTACCGACGTCAAATATAGGTACTTTACCTTTTTTTACTATGTAAACTAGAGTGTAATTGTACATACCCTGAACTCTTCGAGTGTAGATTTGATCCTTGCATAGCCCATATGTTGCTTGCCTTGAAGATGATCATCTACTCTGGTCTGAGCATCACCAACAATGAGAAAAGCACCACAGACCTCACATACTTCCATCTGTTTCTCCTGTGATGTCATGTGATTGGGATCTCTTCCCTTCTGACGTATCATCAGATGAAATAAGAGTAAGAAGAGATACATACCATCAGCGCTAGAAAATACTGGCCGGCCAATATTGCCAGTCATGACGACCAACAAAATTAGTTGTAGTTTGGTGTTAGCTCATTTCTGGCTCATATTTACAGGTCAAAATGACCAGCAACGCAATTATTTGACTGGACAAGTTTCAATAGCGCAGCACAACCGTGATGTCATAAAAACGAAGAAAAAGGCGAAATTCAGACAAACAAACTTACAAGTTTACTTTCGGTAATTTTCACAGTCAATAATAATTGCAGTTGATCTTAGTTTACATGGCTATTATTGTAACTTTAAGCAAAAATAATAAAATCGGTTCGTATAATTCTTGTAGCAGTTAAACAGAATGCAATGTTTGTCCGAATCTTTAAGCTATTTTTAGAATCAGTGCGCTGCGCTATTCTGGCACTGATGATTGGCAGTTACTTTTAGAACTGTTGTTTACCACAAAAAATAGAAAAACTGTAGGCAAGGACAAAAAAAGAGGAGCTTCCTTCTGACTATGTTTTTACAGTACCTTGTACAACTTCAAATTCTCACCCTGAAGTGTTCCATACAAAGAATCCAAAACTAAGAACTGATACTCACCCCATTTAACTGTTCTTTTTCATCTTTTAGCTGATCTATCAGTTTCATTACACCTTGGGCTTCTTCTACTTTGCCTTCAGACCCAAGTTCCTCAACCTACATTTGAGTATTACCATACAGCATCACTTGGTATTTTGCAAAATATGCTTCTTTCGATAAACCTAATGCAAGGTTTCCTATTTCAGACCATATGTCATTCCCTAGGGTATCATTTCTTTGTTTACAGTTGCACATGAAAAGACACATGAATATGGATACAACCTAAACAAAGAATCTTACTCTTGAGATAACACATGGTCTGAAATGGGCAACACAATACGCCCAAGTATAGTAAAAAATTTAATTACCTGTTCAACCAAAGTATTGATTTTTTGGGTCAACATCTGTTCCTTCTCGCTATCAACTTTGACACCTGGATTTTCCTTTAGAGAAATTAAAATTAGCAATAAATTGACATCTTGTGAGGTTTTAAGATTTGCATATTTATCTATTTTTTAATGAGTCATATCGACATTTCAGCTGCTGTTGTGATTAATTTAAAATTTATCAAACCTTACGGCTTTGTTTGCATTGCTACCATAACTAGGCCAATGTAACATGATAACATGCAGGCCCAAAAGTATAACTCTAGAGCATAATGGGACATGATACACTATACCTCTAGCTCAGCTGGTAGAGCATCGGTAGTACAATTCCGAAGGTCATGGGTTCGATTCCCAGCGAGGTTGGAAATTAATTTTTCCAAATTTAATTCCAAGGGCTTTCGCCCGGAATAACCTCGTTCCCAAGCACTATAACTTATCTATGTTTCTATATCTTGTATTTCATAAGTGCTACGCGGTCCACATATTCTCATATATAACTATTAATCCAATCAAAATGCTTGACCATAGCCTGAGTTAACCTGATATTTTTTTACAGTCAGTCTATTGCTAGGGTCAGGTTGTACAAAGGATAAATCCTTATCCAGTGGATAGGTTGATGGTGTTATCCAATACATTTATATACTGGATAAGATTTATTCTTTAGATAGTGCTATCCACCCTTCGTACAACCATGCCCTGTTCTGTAGTATGTCTATTGCTTGGATCTACACCTCTACCTTCAAATTTATTGATACACTAAAAAATGAAACCAGAGTACCCAGACAAAAACCCCCAAGAAATGGAGACACCCATTAAACTCTACTCATGTGCATTATGCCGAACTCTGGAATCGAACCCACCCTAGATATGATAGGCAAGCATGCAACCGCTACACCGCCCTTAAAACTGGTCACTTTATGGAGCTCATTTTGGTTAAAGAAGTTTATTACAGACCTTTTCTCTTGGTATGAGTCTAGCGTGACCTCTTCGTATTCTTCTTTCAACATCAGTCATGATACTTTGAAGGTAACGTAAGAAATCTTCTTCGTACCCCATTTGACCAAATCGACTACTCTTTTCATAGCTAAAGAAGAGGATTTAAAATAAGATTTCAATATTTAAGAGATGATTATGTAACACAAGTTAGATGATCAACTTACGCAGCTTTTAGCTTGTCATCATGCATTTTTTCACATGGGCCTGTTAATGAGAGAAAATTTTTTCCATAGGTTATGAGGTATTATACTTTTATTACATTGCTTCTCAATAGTGCATGTAGAATCATCGGCACTATTAACTAGGTTTTGATGGATTTCAATCAAGGAGTTTCCATGATATTCCATTGGTAAATGTGCTTAAAAACTTTGCATTATCTGACAGAAAAAACCCTAATTGTGCTGATGGGAAACTGTACCATGCTATAGACCCCTCGCATGTGACATAAAATTAGCTCTACTTGAAGGACAAAACAAAAGAATTTCAATCCCATAAGAATTGGAAACCTATTGTTATGTTCTCCATATTAAGCTGATTGGAAACCACTGTAGAATCAAAGGAATCATCATTTGTAGTTACTAGTGGGTTTCTGTGAACGTCAAAGATCAACCAACAAGGCTGCTGTTTCAATGTTATTTATATTTTGAGGGATTTTGAGTCATGTGATTGTATCCCAAGAATAAGAATAATTTAAGTTTATAGAAATTACAGAAATTTGTCTTTCAAAGATAATCAGATATAATCATTCCCCTTTTGCACCAATGATTGTTAAACCACAACACTCAAAAGTAGTTTATGAAAATTTTTGCGTCCAATTCAAACATAAAGAGTACATTAATCAATAGAGAAATATGAAATAAAGGCGTTTAATTGTGTCAAGGCATTTTCTTAAAATTTTCCTTGCTTTGCTTGGACAAACTCGACGTTACAGTTCGAACTTCACAACTTACCTAAATCTGATCTGGTATTTATAAAAAGCTCCGACGGACAAAATCCACATAAATGGTATTTACAGACCTGAAAACAAAAGTTCATTAGCCATTAAAGAACACGTACAGACCAAGCAAGGCTACTTAGAGCCGCCATCTTGAAAGTACCAAGCCTGAATAAATGGACTTTTTTAAGCCTCCAGGGGTAAAAATACCATAATTATTATAACAGACAGTTAGTATAATACCTGAGGGTCAGACCAGTGTGTTGATTTTCCTTTTTGATCGGGGGCAAGATCTCTATCTGCCCCCATAAGTTCATCTAATAGAGCTGCAGCGGACAACATCGCCATTACTGTACCTCTGAAGCTTCGAGGATATCCCACAATGCACTGCGGCTTTAATATGTAAGATTAAGGGGGCGCGAAGCATTCGTCTCCATGGTGATATTAAACTGCGACAGTTTCGTCGCTCTCTTGAGTTAGGAGAATATTTTGTATTTAGTCAAAAAGGATTTCAGTCTGAGTAATAACTTTACTTTAAAAAAATTATTTGAAAATTCTTTGATTGTGACCATGGTAATAATAAGGAAAAAAGTTTCTTCTATAGACCCCTTGCATGTGACGTCAAAGCAGCTCCATCAGAGGGACGAGACAAAAGAATTCCAATCTTCTGAGAATTTGATCATATTGTTTTGTCCCCAAGAATGAATTGCATTCCAAAGTGCTGCAAGGGGTCTATATTCTGAAACTATACAATACCTTCCACCAGCACTTTTGTATTCCTTGGACATTTCAATTTCTCTCTATAGGAAAGGCATATATATTGAAGGGTGGTAAAGGATTATTTTGTGAAAGGTGATTTGATCTGTTTTTATTGTTTATGAAACTCAACATATTTTCATTATTTCATTAATCATCTTTTTACTGTTTTATTTTCTGTGCAACATGATTCGTTCCTCCCTTTACCACCCTGATATTACTAAAGTGAGCACTTCTGATTGCATCAATTTTCTTTTAATAAGTTATTTAGAAAAGCTTTATAGAATGTAGACATTATGCTAAATAATGGTGGCATAGTACTTGTACTGTAGGAGTTCACTTGCTTCTCAACCCAGGGGTCTTGAGTTCAAATCTTGGGCTTGGAATATCTTCCCTGATTCGAGGATTTTTTCGGGGTTTTATTGTTTTCTTTCCTCCACCAAACCCGACAAGCCAAATTTTAACTTAATCCGTGAGTTATCCATAAGGCCTACTTTAGATCAGGCCAGAGGTTGTTTTGATAACCATTCAAAACATTTTAAGGTTAAAGGCAGTAAACTTGATTAAAAAGCTAAATTCATTCATGATAAAAAAATGGAATTAATTTTTTTGTGGTTTATCAATTATATGGCTGGAAGCAAAACTGAGGTTTTTCTGCTTCATATAAATTCAATTCCTTCAAATTTATTTTCTCCAATTAATGTTTCCTTCATGAGTTTTTGTCCATAAATATCAAAAGCAAGAATATATGATCTTATGACACCTTTATCTTCTTCTGTCTTCAATGCAACAATTAATTCATCATCTGTTCCTGGAATAAACTTAAATGAAGAAAAGCCATGAGTAGGGTTTAGCTCGCCAATGGTGCGCACATGAATGTTGCTGAAGTGCTCATCACAGCTGATAAGAACATTGGTGGCACGATGCTCATCATCCTTTTCATTATAAGATTCATGACTAGCTCGTCTGGGTAGGAAAAACCACTTTTTGTGCTTGTCGCTCCAGTTGGCTGATTCATGGATTATGTATCCAGGTGGCATGATTCCTAGTGCAGCTCGCATGGCATTGTACCTTGGCACCCAGTTATGGTGGACTACATCTCCATTCACCCCAATACTTTTCACCCACTGTGGGTTATGGTTCTGAAATACCCCTTCAGTTGTCGTCCATTCCTTTCCAAGTCCCCCTGCGTAAAGAGTTTTGCTCTTGACTGCCAGCCACTCACCCTTGAACCCTTTGGCCTCAGTCCCATCTCCATCAGGCAGGATCACCCAGGCAACTACATGCTCATTCAAGATTTGATACAGCACCCCAGTCCTGTCATCTACGGCATACAGTTTACCATTAAAAACTATCAACTCTGAAAGCTCCATCCCACGGCCCTTTTGAGACAGAGTCGAGGACAGCACGACTAGCTTATCATCCCATTCCACAGATACCTTGCGATCGTTTGTAAGGGTCAAGTAACCACGTTTATAATGGCTAGTCCAAGTGTTCTTCTTGGTGGAAGATTTTGAATTCTCATCCAAGTCTGCTATGATTCCTATTCGAAATCGTATACCATTCGCAATCTTTTGGGTTGAGCTTAGAGGATAAGTATCGTTATACATCGTATTTAGACCAGATCTGTGATAGAAATCAATGCTTTGAGCATTTACATTATCTGAATTAGATGATCTCGAAGGCCATGCGAAGTAAACTAGTGGAATCACTACAAGACCCAAACACGTCGCGTAGATAAAACATCTCTGCATTAGGGCCTGGACATCTCCTTGATTATAATTCTTTCGACTATTATGCATAGTTGGGAGTCTATTCGAGAGTTATTTTCAACACAAATAGACTTAAATTATGTCTTATGTCACTAAACAACGTAGAATTTTTCGGTGTTCAATCTTAGATGATTGCTATGCAACCTCGCTTAGTAATATTGATTAATAATTTACGATGATAATTTACGTACATACATATATATATATACATATATTTACTTGTTATCTTTCTCCAGTAGAGCTTTTCAAAGCTAATATCTTACAGGACAAATAAAATAAAATAATATGCTTGTATGCTGCGGCCTACTGATGTAAAGCAGTATCTAAAGCATGTATATTATATATCTGTATTTAGTTAGCATTTATATTATATATTTTTAGCTGTTATTTACTGATGTATTTTACCGTGGTTAAATAAAGATTCAGATTCAGATTCAGATTCAGATTCAGATTCAGATTCAGCTTATTTAACACCTAATCTTACTTTGGAACATTTTAGGTGTATTTTTCTTTCAGAAATTCCAAACACTTATTTTTTCTCACATCAAATTGGATATTTGAAAAGACTATATCTGAAGAATAATATATTCAATAATGGAGAGATCGAGAACTTGAGAACAGTTAGCGAAAAAAATAACCGTTTAAACACATCTCTAAACGAATTTAGAGTTCCTGAAAGAAATATATTTATGTCGTCAGACGCGACGAGTCTTAGTCAGGTAAAGATTCTTGTGTAATTCAAGATGGAGAGTATATCAAAACTTAGTGACGTCAGTGTTAGGTGTTAAATGAGGTCCAGCATACCCGCACATTGGGCAACTCAGTGCACGCTCCAAGAGCGTTTTGTTGGAGATAAAATGCTACAAAACAAAAGGGGGGCCTGGGGGTCAGGGGGCCATGGAGGGCCAGGAGTGCCGGGGGGATCATGAGAGCAGGGGAGCAAGAGAACCAGGGGGTCAGGGGGGCCATGGAGGGTCGGGGGGTCAGGGGGCCATGTAGGGCCGGGAGGATCAGGAGGGCCAGGGGGATCAGGGGACTATGGAGGCCATGGAGGATCGGGGGGTCAGGGGGCCATGGAGGGCCGGGAGGATCAGGATGGCCAGGGGGATCAGGGGACTATGGAGGCCATGGAGGGTCGGGGGGTCAGGGGGCCATGGAGGGCCGGGAGGATCAGGATGGCCAGGGGGATCAGGGGACTATGGAGGCCATGGAGGGTCGGGGGGTCAGGGGGCCATGGAGGGCCGGGGGGTCAGCTAAAATAGTAACTAACTTATCTAATTTAGGTGACGTCAACTATTCAACAGTTTGACTGAATGCACTCTACCTATATCATCACCATCATAATTATCCTTGTTGTTTGCCTTAAAAACAAATAAATAAATAACTTTATTTAAATGTCGATGTATTTAGTTTATGCAACTAAATTAAACTGAAATCAAGAAATTGTAGTGGACTTTGGGCTCCCTGTGGAGACCCACAAATGGGCTGAGCCATAATATTTCTTTAATGAATAGCTTACTGTCGCTTCGATAAGGTCTATAAAACCCCCAACGAAAACGATAATCTAATCTACAACTGGAGTACATCTTTGCTTTAAAGGTAAAATTCCTATCGGGATTTTGTACTGTATTCATGAGTATGGAGATGACTTTTTAGCGTTCTACACTCGAATTAAGCTCAATTGTTAAACGCCTACAAATGGGCGTGAGTTTTATTTAAATTCGAACCAAACTAGATTAGAAATCCATTCTCATCAGCCTCGGTTTCGTCTACGATGGCTTAGTGATACGACCAACTGGAACGATAAAGATAAAAGGYTTGCCTTGTGATTGAATGATGTGTTTTGATGGAAAGACTATATCCCGGGCGTGGAGTTCATTTTACAGCCCCCTCATAGCATAAAGTACATACATTTACAGTATTTTGGGGGGGTCCTTCTCCGCCCGGGATATAGTATTCTCCCGTATACATTTTGGCTTGACTTTGAAAACCATTTCGAAGTCATTTTTTCAATTCCTTAATTCGAAATTTTATCATAAGAAAAAATCACAAAGAGTAGATTCTGTAGATTCAGCTACTCGGCACTCCTTCACACGCTTCAGAGGGACGCAAAATGTGGATGTAATATCTAAAAGAAAACAAGCTTACTTTGGTGTCCTTTTGAATGTTGTGATATGATCTTTTTCAAACTCCAGCTACTCGGCACTCCTTCACACGCTTCAGAGGGACGACTTCTGTCGTTGCAATATCTAAGAGATTGTGTATGGGTTTAAAAAACTGAAGGGATAGACTTGTCCAGTCCTGGAGTCCTTTTCTATCAGATACGACAAGCTGAAAAATTATTTTTTTCCTCGCCTGCAATCACCATGGAACATTTCGGTACTGTGCCGTGCCTCGTTCCCAAAGTTCCCTGTCGACAATATCCTGTAGCCAGAGGTCCAAAGTGGTTCAAATTTTTTCATCTTATGTACAGCATGCTTATTCAGCGAAAGGCTCCTATTAGGAAATGTAGGTAAAACAACAGGAATTTTGACAATTTCTTTCGCGAGTTGATTTCATCTAGAAAACCGAATTTTCTTGACCGTATTCAATAGGGGAATAATGTTCAACAAGAAATTTCCAGCTAAAATACAGCGATCTAGTATTTTTTACAAACCCTTGGAGGGTAAGCCTGTGTACAACAATATGGMTGTGGATGGTGTATAATCTACATCCAAATCTGCCTTCATCCTCTTCCATCCTGCATTTTAGCAGAAAACTATCTACATGCGCAAGAAGCCAGAGATCCAAAGTCGTTGAAACTTTTTATTTGGAGCTTGCAGCTTATATACAGTCTGAGAAAGTAAAGATGTTTTCCAACGAGTGCGCGCTTATTCATCGAAGTTCTATTAT